TTTCCATGAAGGTGGTACCCCTTCACCCAGCTGAATTCTATTAAATAATTCTTTAAGAGGTACAACCATCTCCAGTTGTAAATATTTATAATACACAGCTGTTAATCCATCTGTGCCAGGAGCCTTACCAGTTTTTAACTGTTTAATTGCTGAGAGGATCTCCTCCTCTGTTATTAATTGGTTTAACCGTTCTCTTCGTTCCTCTGTAACTATAGGAATATTCTGTCTATCCAGATATGTCTCTATCTCTGCACCTTGTATTTTGTCTGCAGTATACAGTCTTGCATAAAATTCTAAAAATGCCTTTTTAATCATATTTTGGTGATATACCTCTTTACCTTTATACTCTATTTTCTCTATGGTACGAGATTTTTGTTTTTTCCTCAGCATGTATGCCAACCATCTACCTGGTCTATTTGCATTACAAAAAGTATTATGTTTAGCATATTGTAGATTGGTTGCCACTTGGTCTGAGAGCATCATATTAAATTGCCCACGTAATAGACTGATCTCTTCTTTGATTTTCTTATCCCCTGGGTTATCAATTAACACCCTTTCTTTTTTCTTGATCTCTTCTTCTAATTCCCTCCTTTTTTCCACTTGTCTACGCCTATATGCATTATTCATATTTATCAAAACTCCTCTCATGTATGCTTTACTAGCATCCCATACCATATCCATAGATGTTCCCTTGTTCATATTAAAAACAAAAAATTCCTTCATTAGTTTTTTACATTCTATTACATTTTTCTCACATCTGAAAAGGTTTTCATTTAACTGCCAAGATCTCCTAGAGCTTTCCCCACACTCCAGTTCCATCCAAACTGGACTATGATCAGTTAAAATTCTGGGACAAATCTTTATCTTCTTTACCCTGGAAAAAAAATCATTTGTAATTAATATAAAATCAATTCTTGAAAAGGATTGATGTCTATCTGAAAAAAATGTAAAATCTTGTTCTCTATAGTTCCGTTCATGCCAAATGTCTCTTAATTCCATATCCTCCATCATATCAAAAAAAGTCTTAGGCAGTCTGGATCGCAATTTAGTAGATTGTACTATTCTTTTCTTATGAATACTAGGGTCTATCACTCCATTCCAATCTCCCATCAATATACATGAATTATAATCCCAATGTAGTAATTTTGTATGTATCAACTTATAAAATTTCTCTTGTTGTTGGTTAGGAGCATATATCCCCAATAAGAGTGTTTTCTTTCCTTCTATCATTATCTCAATTGCCAGGAATCTTCCTTGTTGATCTGCCTCAACTAATTTAGCCATCAAATCTCTTTTCAAGTAGATCACTATTCCATTTTTTTTTCCGGGGCTGATGCAACAAAATGTGTTCCCAATTTTGTATTTATTAAATATTTTTGATCAGTTGTCCTTATATGTGTTTCCTGCAGGCATATTATTTCATTTTTAAATTGTCTCAAGTGGTGAAATATTTTCTTCCTTTTTTGTGGTGAGTTTAAACCATTAACATTCCAGGTTAAAAACCTAGAAGCCATCCTCAGACTCTCGAAGCTTGGCGAGAACCGCTTGATAATCCTCTTGGAATTTTCTTTTGGGTCTCGCCCCTCCCACAGCTTCTGCACCAGTATTCACTTCTTGTGATAAAGCCTGCTCTTGTAACTTTTTTAACTCTTCAACTTTACGTTTAGTAGCTGCTCTGGTTTGTCTTTGATCTTTGCCTTCTTCTTGTTTTTCAGCTATATCCCATGCTTGGACAGCACTTGAAAGTTGCAGTACCTCCTCCTGCATACTCATAACTCCGCCTTCCAATTGCTTCTGCAGGTCCTCTTTCCTTCCCTCTGTCGCCTCTCTTACTTTTTTAACTCCTGGCACTGGTGGTTGTCCAGCCTTTAGTATGTTACTATAAAAATCATTGCTTTGCATATTGTATTGAGACGATATCACTCTCCTGCATAGTCCACCGATAATCCAACTGGGACTTCCCATCTGTATTGTATCTGTCGATTCCTCAGCTCATCTGCCAGAAAAGCATACTCTTTCTTGGATTTCAGCATTTTGGGTGGTATTTCTTTAAATACTGCAACTTCTTGTCCTGCCACTTGCAACTTATTTTTATAGGCAGCTTGTAAAATCTCATTTCTAATCCTTCTGGTGACAAAGTAAATCACAACATCTCTTGGTAGTTTCCTTTGTCTAGCTACCCATGAATTAACACGATAGATCCGTTCCATTTGCCATTCAAGTTCACCTCTGGGCACTCCTATAAACTGTGCCAGAGCATCTTCAAAGATCTCTTTCAAATTTTCCTTAGGATTTTCTTTCTCTTATTCTCACAGCAAATTCCATCATCTTGTATTGTGTCAACAACATTTCAGCTTCTGTTTTGTCAATCTTAGTTTGTGATTCCTCAACTTTACCATCTAAAATCTCATTGGCTTGAACAACCTCATCAATTCTATCTTCTACATGACTAACATGTTTTGCCAGTCCCTGGAGTGCAAGAACTATATCTTCCCTTATATGTTGATTTCTTGTCTTAATTATGTCCTTCATTTCTTCCATTTGTTCTGAGACTCCTTTAAATGCAAATGCAATGTCCTCTTTAAAACCTTCTTTAATTTCTTTCATGGCTACCTGAAACATCTCAAGTGTTAACATTTGTGCTTGTGGTTGTAATTGTGGTTATAATTGAGCTTGTGTATCTGCCGGAGGCAATAAAGTTTGCAACCTGCTAGTTTGAGCTGGGGAACTTCCCGCACTCCCTGCTTTAGGCAGCACCAATTTTGTCTGCTTTGAAGCCATTTTAAAATCACACAGTCTCAGAAACAGTTCTTATAGCCGGTGAGGAAAAATCAGAAAATCTTTAAAATCTTTAAATTTTGATTCCCAAAGTCCAAGATATAAGGTTAAATCCAAAAAATTTTAAGCGGAGTTGTTAACCGATAGGCATTAATGAGTTAACAAGTCTGTAACAACTTTCTTTTTTTTTTTTTATTGTAAAAGTTTTACAATTACATTTTCACCCCATTTTCACCCCCCTAACCCACCCCAAACTCCCCAACCCACCCTCCCTAACCCCCCCTAACCCTCCCCTCCCCCCCGGACTTCCATAGAGTATACCCCATCATTGTCCCCTTTATATAAAAAAAAACCTTGAACTTTAAACCCCCCCATCCCCCATATCATTTTTCATCTTCACATAGTTCAAATATTTCTATCTTAATGTAATATAATACTATCAATAAAAAGCTATTTGATACTTCCTAGTTTGATATTTGTTCTGCACATAATCTATCCATTTTTTCCATTCACATTCATAAGTCTCTTGTGAGCGGTCTTTTAAATATGCTGAAATCTTCGCCATCTCAGCGAAACTGGCCATCTTCAAAATCCATTCTTGAATGGTAACAACTTTCTTCTTAACTTTCACTTTCGTCTCTTTGTCTTAACGAGCCAGCGCCATCTTCCCCTCCCTTTCCACTCCAGCTCCGCTCTTAGAGGCTCGAAAAGAAACGATGTTCAAAGGAATTAAAGTATAAGTACTTGCAATTATGTAGTCTCCTGTCTTTGTTCTGCCTGCTTCAATTTTCTCTTTGTATCAATTGGTAGCAGGGGCGGACGTGGCGTTTTGCTCTGCCTTCTGGCAGAGGCGTCCCGGCTTTGGAGCTTTCCCAGGTTCTTGGGGAGCTCACACCTTTCGAGCCCCAGAATTAATTCTAGGGCTCTTATGGAGCTCTACCCTGCACCTGGCTGCTCGCTTCCCCCTCTTCTCCCGGGGGGGGAAGGTTCTTCGCCGCTAGACAGCTGATTTTTTGCTGTTCTAGCGGCTAACAAAGTCGTGGGGCTAGCGCTCACCCAGGGAGCATCCTCAACGTCCTACGGAGCCGCCGGAAGCCCATTCTCATTTCTCTGTTTAGGTTCTGGGCTCATCAATGGGACTATTTAAAAATAATGAACCTCTAAGTATCTTTGATAAAGGAAGAAATACTCCAACTTCTGCTAAAATTAAATTTTGCATCAGCAAGGGTAGATAACTTAAACTCAGTCTGATGGGAATAATCTCAAGAGTTTTGGTACCTTAGCTATTAATTAAAACAGGCCTTCGAAGCCACGGAAGGTTCTCCTCTCTTGATGAAAGAAATGAATCCTGATATTTTATCCCATCATCATTCTGGCAAAAGAAAAAGATGCATAATTAGGTCTTTCTTTTAGATCTTTGCGTCCGGAAATGCCTCTTAGTGAATATCAAATGACGTGAATGTTGTGCTGTTTACAGTGGATTTATAACCCTAATGTTAAGTGGTACACCTTTGGAATTGTTAGGAGAAACGACTGCACCTAAATATTAGATTATGCTTCTTTGTTTTATGCAGAGAATGAAACTCATGAAACACAAGCACTCACACACAACATATATGTATATGTGAGATAGATTGATGATGATGATGATGATGATGATGATGATGATGATGATGATGATAGATAGATAAATGATAGATGATAGATGATAGAGAGAGAGAGAGAGATGATAGATGATAGGTAGAGAGAGAAAAAAATGTGTGTGTATATATAAATACATATACGGTATGCATTCGTACACATATCTATAAGCATCTGAGTTTTCCTAAAGCAACAATGAAAAATAATATATTCCATTATTTGTTTAGGGCTGTTATTGTCATCAATTTACTGATGTTTGAATTAAGGAGTGCTTTCTTTAAGGAGTGCTTTAAAAAATCGGAGTCATGTAATTGCAATAGAGGAAAAAGTAGAATAATTATTTTTCAACAAGCATATATTCTCCTGGTATCTTCCAAAGGTGTTCCCGGGATTTGCATTAAAACATTTTTCTTACACATCAGGAAGATACCAGAATTGGAAAATGTATAAATGCTAGACCAATATAAATTTAGGAAACATCAATCTGGTATGGAAAGCTGACTTGAATGAATATGCTAATAATGTCCTCTCCTTTCCTTTCTCCTTTCTTTTATAACAATTGAACTTTCTTCTGTCAATAGGTCCTAGATGTGAATCAATCCCATGATGCAACATGTCTCCCCAGCGCCATCTCTGACAATGATGGCCACACAGACTGTACCCCCTCCCCCTTATCAAGAACCCCAACAGGTGAGTATTCCTTTTGCAAGCACACCATTCTGTTTTGCATTTATAGGCATGCTACAGTATTGCAGAGAGCTAGAGAAAAGCAAGAAGGGGCAGTGTAAATTTTTAATCATTCCAACCACATCTTTTTCCACACATCCATCTGTATATTACAACCAAAAATATTAGCCCACTTTATCTTTCACATTCTTCTTCTCTTTTAAATTTCAATACAAGGTTATACATTGTAGCAATTGCATGTTCATCAATGCTAAACAATTCTTTTTTAAACTCAGTCTTACAATGTTCAGAACCATAAATTATTTTGTCTATTATGAATCTGTGTAGATAGGAGAACCATTGACAATTATATCCCTCTGCTACCAATTCTTCTCTTGATTTTACTTTACATTCCCCTTGAGAAAACCTGGAATTCTGGGTGCATTTTCTTTCTAGACTTCAACAGTAGAACTTACAGGATTTGGAAGGAAACAGTTTTGGAAGAGGGATGTTGTATAAATTCGCCAGCTATAAGGAGACACTCTTCTATTTCTCTGTTAATGTTTTCCTTGGAGAACTGTAGAAGATTTAAGGTCTATAAAAAAGAAGTGATGTCTCTCTGTAGCTCATGCCTATAGCATACCAGAAGACCCTTGGGCCACTAACATCTGCCCACTGATATTTTAACATCAGTTGGTGATGATAGTTATTGTTGTTGTTATTATGAGGCTAAGAAAAGTTTGTCATAGTTTTGACAAGATAAGAATTTTTAGATATTGATAGAATGACTGCCAGGAGGAAAAAAATCCCCTTCATTTTTAATACCAGTTGTCATATTTTTTAAACAAAGTGGGTTTCATTTAAAAAATTGTCCAAAGGAAAAGAGTACAGGTAGTCCTTGACTTACAACAGTTCATTTAGGGATTGTTTGAAGTTACGACACTGAAAAAAGTGACTTATGACCGTTTTTCACACTTACAACTGTTGCAGTATCCCCATGGTCACATGATCAAATTCAGACACTTTGCAACTGACTCATTACTTATGATGGTTGCAATGTCCCAGGGTCATGTGATCCCCTTTTGCAACCTTCTGACAAGCAAAGTCAATGGGGAAGTCAGATTTACTGAACAACTGTTTTACTAATTTAACAGCTGTAGAGATTCACTTAACAATTGTGGCAAGAAAGATTTTAAAATTCACTTTATAATGGTCTCACTTAGCAACATAAATATTGTGCTCAATTGTGGTTGTAAGTCAAGGACTACCTGTATTTCTGATAAATCATTCCATGTGGTGTAGGGCACAGGTCTCCAACCTTGGCAACTTTAAGATTTGTGGACTTCAACTCCCAGAACTCTGAGAGTAGAAGTCCACAAGTCCACAACTCTTAAATCCACAAGTCTTAAAGTTGCCAAGGTTGGAGAGCCCTGGTGTAGGGTATTCCTGCATTGATTTAGTTATGAAGGCCTTCCTTGGGCAACCCTCTCCAGTGTTCTCATAACTTTCCATGTTTCCATAACCCCAATAGCTTCCTACTGACTTGTTCACTAGAACAGCTACTCTGATATCTGGGGAAGTCCTGCCCTTGGGCACTTGTTTGGAGAAGTTCTTCTCATGGAAAAATGTGAATAAAATAACCCATCTATTTCCCTATCTACAAACCTGGTGGTCCATTGACAGGCATTTTTGACCAACCTTAGGTACAACTAAATCTCAAAATGCTAGGACATGTTGAGAGCACTTAAGGAAAAGTTGCCCCTCAGGAATCTAGTTCAGTGGGTAGAAATTACTGTACCTTATGGGGCAAAAATGGACCTATTTTGGATTTCTAGAATAAAACTACCAGTAGTTGCCTTGATGCTATCAACGTTTTTCTTCCTCATTATGCTTTTGTTCCCAGTTCAGTTTGTAGAAATTAGAAGAGAGCAGAAGGACATCAAGAGGGTTAGACTAAAGGTCTTTATTGGGTTTGGGGCTTCCTATGGTGGCCAAACAGGAGGCAGATATTAGCCTTTGCTCATTATTTGTTCATTAGAATTTGTCAAACAAAAATGAGAGCAAGAATAAAAGAATAAAAATACAATGACAGGGACGATAGGCATGTTAGTGCCCTTATCCACGCCCCCTCAACTGACCACTTAAGTATCATGTAAGGTCCACTGAAGTCAATTTGTGACTGAAACTGTGAAAATTTGCATCTGAAACAACTGAATCAGGTAGAGCATTCCAGACTTTGACAACTCTATTACAGAAATCATATTTTTTACAGTCAAGTTTAGAACAATTTACATTGATCTTAAAGCAGTTGTTAGCACACATATTATTGCAATTAAAACAAAACAAGTCATTTACAGGTAAAACATTACTACCTATAATTTTGTATGTAATACCTAGGTCTGACCACAAGCAACGCAGTTCTAAGTTATCCAGACTGAGAATTTTGAGCCTAGTAGCATAGGGAATTCTATCTATCTATCTATCTATCTATCTATTTATTTATTTATTTATTTATTTATTTATTTATTTATTTATTTATTATTTAATTTTTATACCACCCTTCTCCCGAAGGACTCAGGGCGGTGTACAGCCAAGATAAAAAAACCAACAATATAAAAGTTAAAAACAATTTAAAATTATTAAATAGTTTGGCCAATAATCTAAAATAGAATAACCCATTAAAATAATATTAGGCCAGCCCTGCTTAATGGAATAATAGTGTTTTAAGGGCGCGGCGAAAGGTACGAAGGTCGGGAATCCAACTAATCTCTGAGGGCAGCTCGTTCCAGAGTTCTCTTGTGTACAGAAGAGCGCAAAACTTTTCTCGTGAAATACTTCTGAACCCGCTCAATTGTACTGATGTCAGATATATGGCGGGGATTCCAGACAGTTGAACAATACTCTAAGATCGATCTAGCATAAATTTTATAAGCTCTAATTAGCAATAAAATGTTTCCAGAAAAAAAACTGTACAAAATTAAATTTACAACTCTTAATGCTTTTTTAGCAACGCTGTTACAGTGAACTTTGGAGCATAGATCGTCAGAGATAAGTACACCTAGTCCTTGACAAAGTGAAGGTCATCAGCTAGTTCAATGCCACCTAGCTTATATTTGACATTCTGATTACGTTTACCAATACGTAAGACAGAGCATTTATTGATCGAAATTTGAAGTTGCCAAATAGATGATCATTCAGACACATAGACGAGATCACTTTGCAAAACAACAGAATTATCTGTTGTTTATGGCCCAGTAATATTGTGAGTTACAGCTTTATCCTCCATGAATGCATCTCATTCCTTTTCAAAGCATTATAAATTGCTGTCCTTCACAAACCTTGTGGAAACAAGCTTCATTAGTTAGTTATGAGTGTACTGTATACTCTGTTCTTGTGTGAAGTAATATTGCCTCTCCTTCTAATGTAAGCTTTAAGCAATAATGGAGAAAAAGCTGAGCAAATCACATCCAGGATGAAAGACTTATTTTTATATATACATTGTGCTTATGATCCAAGTATCATGTTAATTAGAACTAGCAACCAACCTCTGGCTGACCAAATGAAGAATAAAATAATATATCCCATATTTGTTTAACAGGTAAATCCTCCTATTTGTGCAGATGAGGACTTCAAGATTGTGTTTTCACAATGAAGCATTGCATTTTTTTAAAATTTTAATTTTTTTTGCATCCAGAATAATTAAATTTGTGGAACTCACTAGGGCAATAGAATTAAATCTGTGTCTTTGCCAAATGTGTGATGATGGGCATTGACTTAGATGACATGAAATGGGATTAGACACATTCATACAGGAGACATCTGTCAAAGGCTATTTATGACAATAGCTACTTGTCTGATATCTTCCATGGTGGTTATTACTTACGGATACAGATTAGACAAAATAAGTAAAATAAAAATATGCTACCTAGAGTCACTTCTGGTGAGATGGGCAACCATATAAAATTGATATTTTTATAAAGAATGGAAAAAGTCAACATACCTCATTGTGCCAGCTGATGATGAGCACAAGAGGGAATAAAACTCTTCAGTGGGTAATGGGAACATCTGGTAAAGGATTATGAAAAATAAAGTGGCTTCTTTAGATCAAGTTTACTGAGCTGTGGTGGTGCAGTGGTTAGAATGCAGTATTACCAGCAGTTCGATTCTCACCAGCTCAAGGTTGCCTCAGCCTTCCATCTTTCCAAGTTTGGTAAAATGAGGATCCAGATTGTTGAGGGCAATATGCTGATTCTGTAAACCACTTAGAGAGAGCTTAAAACATGATGAAGCAGTATATAAGTCTGTGCTATTGCTATTTTATTTGGATCTCATGTTAGTTTCTTATTGCAGACTAAGCCAATGACTATAGCCTGATCTTAGCTTATCCACTCCAACAGGTTAAAAATCAAAAGCCAAATGAATTCATTTCTTGCTGTTGTATTATATATTTATAATTAAATTTAGTTTTAAACTCCATCAGAATGTAATCAAGGGTTTGTTTTTTTTAACTGCGATAAAGAGGTGGTTCAGCTTTAATTCTTCTTAGAGATTTCAAAATAAATGTATTTTGTTTGCAGAAAAGGAAATCCTGGGCTTGAATGACCAAGTTTTCATACCAGGGATATTCCATATTTACATAAGCTTTCTGTTACTCTTAAATTAAGGTTTTGTTTTGTTTTGTTTTCTATAAAGCTCCAGCTGCTGAAAATAGGGGAATTTCAGCTTTCATTTAGAAATAAGGGGCGAAATTGGAAGAGGCACAAATGTGCTGCAAAATAGCTTGCAGTTTGTGTCTTAAAAGTCTCATAAATATAAAGCATTCGTACAGATCATTGTAAAATATTTGCCATCTAACAATGGACATCCTTGTCTTATCAAAATGTCCCTTTCTATCATTTACTAGGCCTGTGTGAGTTCAAAGCTTTGTCATGAGAAAATTCTTTTCACCACAAAGACAGGGCTGATTTTCTCATCTCTCTCTCTCTCCCTTCAATCTTCTTAACTTCTCTGTCTGATCCACAAAG